CAACGGAAAACGCGGACGTTGTTGATTCGCGTCCGTCTGACACCTGCCAAGATTGTGTGATTTATTCGTCCTAGAAATATCGCATGAAAACGACGAGGATCAGACATACGTCACCAGAAGTGTTTTTTGACGCGACTCAATTTTTCCCAAATTATGCCAGTTAATCTCACGCACCACACGTGCGTGTTGTATGCTACTAGTTGCGCGTGATGAGTGGTCGCACACGACCGCGCGTGTGTACGGCGGTCTTAACGGCAGATAACCGAAGGTATTATGTATTACATAATCACATGAAATTAACAAAGGCTGCCGGCTTTACGTGTGTTGTTTACTAATGCCACGCGTGTCCGAGATACTGTCTTCTATGAACTTGAACTAGCATGACCACACATATATAGGCCGTTATCACCTAAACAAATAACGATGATAAAGAAAAGTCGTCATCCATGTCACTCTGATGTTTGGATAAAGCGACGCACAAGTAGCTATATCAACGTTTATAATGCCTGTAGATATTTAACCGTCGGAACACGCCATGAAAATCTGACAGGACACGAAAGGACATGCTTAAGGTATTACGATGACAAATCAGCCGTTTTGTAGTGCATCCCAAACTTAAAGTACATGGCACCACTGGAACCACGTAAGCATGGGCGACTTTACCGTCACCAGCGATAAGTATAGGCTGTTATAATCTCACACGGGGATATCGCCGCCAGGTTCGAAGGCGATAGAGGAGATGGCGCACGCGAACTTGCGTGTAAAAAAACGCTGTTGTTATCTTGCTGTCATTAGAGAATCACTTTTTTCTGTATATATATATATAATATGTGTGTGTGTGTGTGTGTGTGTGTGGGGAGGGGTTGACAGATAACCAGATATCCTGATATCACACGCAGTAACCGGAGCGAAAAAGTTAACAAATAATACGTCAATTTAAGTTTGTTGTGTCGTCGAATACATTTATACCAGATGGTACCCGTAAGATAGTAAAGCCCACCCACCCCGCGCCACACACCTACACGCGCGCACACAAACACACACACAAACACACACACACACACACACACACACACACACACACACACACACACACACA